TTCACCGGCGTGGCGCCCTCGTCATCTGCGGGGACACGGCACCGTCACACCCACCTGCTCCGCACAGCGCGCAGCCAACACTCACCCGCCTCCTCTCAGAGCTTGGGCCATTCCAACTTCAGCTCCGTCACAAAATGGGATTTCTGCCTAACACTGGGATTTGGAGCTAAACCCACTCTGTGTTTCGTATAACAAAATAACATTTCATTCATTTGATAAAAGTTCATTAGTGCAACACCAAACCTTTCAGGAACACTGCTCACACCCACCCCGCTCCACACAGCACTGCAGCAAACACTCATCTCCTCAGAGTTTGTGCCATTCACAAACTTCAGCTCCATCATAAAGTGGCATTTTCCTGTACTACTGGGATTTGGAGCCAGGGAATGGCCCACCCTATATTTTGCATAACAAAATAACCTATTACATTAATTTGATAAAAGTTAGTACAACACCAAACCTTTTCAGGAACACTGCTCACACCCCCACCCTTCTCCACTCAACACAGCATTTCAGCAAACATTTCCTCACAGAGAATCCATGCAATTCACAAACTTCAGTTCCATCATAAAATGAGATTTTTGTGTACTACTGGGATTTGGAGCTAATGGCCCACCTTATATTTTGTAGAATGAAATAACATATTACATTAATTTGATAAAAGGCTCATTAGTGCAACACCAAACCTTTAGTTTTTCTTTCTTTGGCTTCTTGCTCTTGTAATGAGTTCCTCTGTTGCTGACAAGCTCTACATTTGTTTAAAAGCTCCTGTAAAGTTGGGATCAGGGCCGAGTTGAGCTGTTTGGGAGTGTGCACCGAAAGCAGCAAGGCAAGTGCTCGGAGGTCCTGCAAACAGAGAAATGAGGTTTATTTATGCTGGTGTTGGATGAATCCTGCACACAGACACTGCAACAAGGAGATGCTGTTCATGTCCTGAGCTGCCCAAAGATCCCTTCTGGATCTGCCTGCTGAGCTGAACCCAGCTCTGTCCTGGAGGGGACAATGCCCTGCTCAGACACCAAACCCTGCTGGGCTCCAGCACTCCCACCATTAATGCTCCTGCAGGGGTTAATTAACACTTTGCTCCCCACAGCCCCGTTAACATTCCCAACTCGCCATGGCCCCTCCAGGAGCTCAGGTGAGGCAGGGATTGCCCCACACCTGGCACAGGCACTGAGGAGTTTCTGGAGGGAATGAGCTGCCTCGTGCTCCTTAGAAAACACTCACCCCGTTTAATGTAGAGCTTGCTTTGGAAATTTCAACTCTCTGGTTGCTGAAGTCAGATTCTAGGCTTTGATACTGATTTATTAGGTTTGTAATTAAAGTGTTGATTAAGTTGGCACAGTTTGCTTCAGAAAATACTTGCCCTTGCACCTGTGGAAACAAAGTATTTTTTTTTAAAGCCACAAAAAATTGGAACTGTGAAAAAAAATCAAAAAAGGAAGCAACATCAGTGCCTGCATTGCTTGGAGTAGTGATTATTGCTAAAAGACCCCTTACCTTGAGGAGAAAGTGTGTCAGAAACGTGTAGACAATGTTGTTGTTAAGAAAGGTCCTTTCATCCATCAGAATACATTTGATATATTCTGCAAAAACGGGATCTTCACAGAGGAGCTTCACACAGTTCTTGGACATTGCAGACTGGCAGGAGAGAGAAGTGGCAGAGTCAGCACTGAGCTGCAGCCAGGCCCACTGAGGAACAGCTCAGCTCTACCAGACACCAGTGAGTGGCACAAAGCAATTACTGACAATTCTTACTGCCCATCTTCCTGTGAGGAAGGAAAGGCCAGTCCATCCCCAGCAGTGTGACAGGGACAGAGCCTCCTGCTCTGTGAGCCACCCACAGTTCCTCTGCAATCACACCCAGACCCTGACACCTCCTCATCCTTCCTTCACCATCCCAGTGTTTGTGCCACATGGAAAGCTGGAATTCCAGGGGCAGGGTGAGGGGATTTCTGCACCCCCACCACCCCTACTGGGGGGAGCTGCTGTGTTCAGCTTTTGGGGGATGTACAGGGAGCAATCAGAATTTTATATTTGATTTAGCGGGGCTTCTCAGACAGCAGTCACACAGGCAGAGTATTTTCCTGAACATCATCCACCAGATGTTTTATTGAACATCTTTGTTCCACATTCAGTGTGTTTTGCTTCTTTTTCCAATCTGTTGGTTCTGGCTCTTACCTGAGTCTGGCACAGCTCAGTCCAGAGCTTGGGGAAGAGTGCAAGGTGAAGAGGCAAACCTTCATAAGCAACCAGGACACCTGCAAAGGCATAAGGGAACAAGTCAGTGTGGGGAACTTCGTGGGACACAGGCAAATTCCTCAGAAAAGCAGTGCCAAGGTGCCCTGTCATTTTACAGGATCACATTCCAAGAGTTTTGCATGATCACAAAGCTGGAGTGTCTGTGAGGTTTTCACAGTCCATTTAATAAAACACTTGGAAAGTGTGACAAACAACAAGCAGATGGGTGATTCAGGGGATAAAAGGACATTCTCTCATTGCTCTTTGGATGACATTATTGGTGTGACACTCTGGTATGTGCACACTGAGGAACTTGCCCTTGGGGTTGTGTGGGAACACAAAAATTAAAATATTGTCATTAATTGCCATTGCTGAGGTGCTGAGGAATCAAGATGGGATCCAAAGCCATTTAAACTGCCCATCACCCAGAAACAGCCTCAGTGAGTCCTGTATTAAACTCTAAATGCACAATAAGACTGAATTCTCAATGGTTACCTCAGCTCTTTTCTGGGCAAGCCCGAAACATTTCAGTCATGTGGGTAAGGCTGCACTTTCTTACACAAAAATACCCAAACCAAGTTTCACAAGTTTTCCTTAAAAACTCTGACTATAAAACCTGGTGCAGAAGGACTCAGAGCTATCACACACAGAATCCTGGGGCTGTTTCACCTGGATACTTACTCATTTTCACTAAAGTTTCAGTGAACTTTTCACAGTTGATTGCAACCCGACACAGGAGGTGGATAAACTGGTGGTAGGAGAAGAAATAATCCAGCAGCATCCGGTCGTAAACATCGTCCTTGCCCTGCGGATTTAAGGGAGCCTCGTTCAACCCCCAAGGCCCCAAAGGCACCAAGGCACAGCTCCCAGTGCCCTGCAGGGCTCCCTCCTGAAATACAGGAGAGCACTGGGAGCCCCCAGGGGCCTCCTCAGCCAGCCCTTGGCAAGCTCCAGGGTGATGGAGGAGGGATGGCAACGCAACTCCTGCCAGGAAAATCCCATTGGAGGCTTCTGAGCCAGCACCCAGAGGCGCAGAGCTGTGCCAATAGCAGGGCGTGAAGAGGACAAGAAAAGAACACAGCAACTCTGTATCACATACAGACACCTAAATATATACACACTAGTGCTTGTCAGTTGTGATCTGTAGAAATCAGAATTTTCTCAAGACTGAGCTTCAGAGCAGAATTTCCATGAATGTCTTAAACCCAATGATACACATATGTGGATATTTTAATATTTTGGACACACGTAAACTTAAAGTGGCATCAGCCACAGGAATGGCATCAGAGAGCCACGAGGAAACCTCTAAAACTCAAGCAAAAACTGCAACTTTATACAAAGCAACTGAATGAAAAACAAGCATGCAAACCCACAGGGCAATGTGACTGTGGATGTGGTTCCACAGCTTTAAAAATATTCTCCTTCCTAATGTATTAGGAATTGGATATAAAGGGTGAAATACTGTCATGTAACATGACAACTTTCTATATTTACATTATGTAGTGTCACTTCTGGATGCATGATGGGGAACCCACTAGAGGCAGTTCCTGGCTCTCTGCCATCCTTTCAAACACTTGATTTCTGGCTCTCTACCTCTCTTTTCAAACACAATCAATTTGATGGTGCACAAATAGACACAGCATCATTCTGAAAGCTTTAAAAAAGAAGGGTTACTTACCCTACAGTAACCGTGCTTCTTCGAAATGTGTTGCCCACACAGATTCCCATCTACGTGCACATAGGCCCCATGTGCAGGAGATTGGATTCTTTCTGAATAGCTGTGTCCACTGGGGCTGTGCCTGCACCCAGTGTGTCCTTGCGACCACTGTACCTGAGGGCACAAGGGGTATGGCGGCTTCAACCACCACTCAATTCCTTCACCCGAAAGAATCCCCTAGGACAGGACTGAATTAGCACAGCAGGACGAGCACAGAATCTGTGTGGACAAAGCATCTTGAAGAACCACAGTTACCGGACAGCAAGTAACCAGTTCTCCTGCTTCAAATGATTGTCCATACATATTCCTTTTTGGGTGGGATTCACCTGACCTGACTTTAGCTATCCAAAATCTGCAGTCACTGCTGCTCCCTGCACGCCGTGGTGCCCGGGACAGGCAGGAGGGGAGCTCTTGCTCTCCTCCCCAGGGTAGCTATCCATGGCAGGAGCCCCAGAGGAGCCCCACAGGAGCTGGATGCCGACCTTTTATCTGTTTTAGATAGGCAAAGTGACGTGAGCTGAATCCCACCGTTGCTGCAGCTGTAACAACGGGATGTGGCAAAGTCACTACGGAGCAGCCCCACCAAAGCTGGCATCCCATCAGGAAGCCCACAGAAGGGAAAATGGCAAGTGAAAAGACTTCAAGCCCTTTATGACATTTCAGGCACTGGATTTTACCCAAACAAATAGCAGATTATGCCTCAGCCCCAGCTGAATGGACTCTAATGGAACCTGTAGGGTCTCCTTGGCTGTGTGGAAATAAATCTTAAAGTAGTGTGAAACCCATCTAGACAATCCCTGGGCGGTGCCTCAATTTCCTTTATAAATGCCACAGACAAAGTGGGAAACTACCAGAATGTGTGCCATGGGTTTTTCTCCTGCCACAAGGCCCAAACCCTTATGGTGCCTGCAGTATGAAGCTGTGTATCCCCAAGGGCAGGGAAATGGTGCTTCTCAAGTGCACATCTAGAATGGAGTATATGAGGACAACACATCTTGAAGAAGAATTATGCTTTGTTTACAAAGAAAAGGTAAATGCATTGAGCTACTGGATTCTGCCAACACCTTTACAAAAATGGGAAAACAACAGAGAAATGATTCTTTCTAGGACCACTTGTTTACATACCTTGCTGGCTTCCACCATGGTGGGCAAGAGGCACATGTTGAGCTCGGGCCGTGGAGGACGAATATTGCTTTTCCCCCCTATTAATTTCAAATTTTCACGACATGGAAAATAAGGTCCAAGAGACACTGTAGTGTAAGTTCGGATAAAATAGGGATAACATTAAAAAGGTCAATATTTGACATCAGCAAGGAACACGACAGAGAAATAACAGTGTAAGAGAACTTCAAAAGACAATCACTGAAATACCTACTTGGGATATTACTGTGGTGGTATGTACAATGATTGTGCTGTAGAAATGGAACCAGAGTATGTAGGAAATCATGAGGACTTAAAAGTACAAGCTCCTTGAGGACATCTACAAACAAAAAGTTGTTTTTGCTATTACAAATTGTTATTTCTTAACAGCAAACAGTTCAACTTAAGGCTCACACATTTGCAAACTCTCTCTTGTATCCCCTCTGCCGTGAGCAGCACCTGAGGGTGCCACCCCTGCCTCCATCCCAGCTCCCTTCACTCTGCCCTGGGAGAGACCCTGCTCAGGGCTGCAGCACCCACAGGGAGAGCCACAATTACCCTCTCTGCTTCTTCTTCTACAGAGCAGGAATGATGCCTGGAAAAGGGCAACCAGCAGCAGTCAGGAGGACAATGAAAAATACTCAAAATAGGGGGAAATGCATACAAATCACACAAAAAAGGGTGGTTTGGACACAGTGTTAGGCCTTCACCAGCAATCCATTAAATAATATTAAAAAAGTCTAAACTAGAAAAAACCTGGGCCTTTCAGAAACAGCTCTGCTAATGCAAGAGAGGCATTTGTATGTATTATCTGTGTCTACACTCTAAAAAGCAAATCCATTCCTCTCTACAAGCTATTTATGCTTTAGTTCCACTTGGCACTTCACAGTACTGAATCATAAAAATGAACAGGAAAAGCTGCTTCTCAGAATAACTTGGTTTCCACTCTCCCTTTTGAGGGGAGCTTTAGTTCATGTCTGAATTTTAATCTCAGATTTGGGATCTGACTCTAAACTCAGTGACACCTGAGCTGCTCCTCAGTCCCTCCCCTACCAGGAGGCCAATCAGTCTCCCAGTGACCTGAGGCTTTGTGTGCCCAGCCTGCACGCCCTGACTGAGCACAGGGATGCTCAGAGCCAGCTGCACACCCAGAGCAGCCTGACAGCACCACACCAACCCTCCCCACCTCCCCTGGCAGAGCCCTTGTGGCACTTCCAGCTCACTGCAGGCCTGGGCAGGACAGCTCTGCAGGGCCAGCACTTACCAATGCAGGCATTTCTCAGCTCAGGAGGGCTGTAGGAATTGAGCAGAGTCAACAGCTTATGGGCAAATTCAATCCTCTCCTGCCACTGAATGAGAGCTTGCTTCACATCTGCAAGGCAAACATCCCAGGAGGCTGCTTAGCTCATGCCTCAGAAGCTTGTTAGAAAAAGCACAGAACTGTACTGCTGAGGAGTCTCTTTTCCCTCTACCATCTAGGAATTTGTTACATCTCATTGCTCTACTGCTGTTAAATTGATGAAATCTAGTTTGCTATTAAGTCAATAATTTAATAAGTAACAATTTAATATCCATTAACAGACACATATTCTACTGTACAGCAAGTTTTAAAAAACAGCAAGAAAAACCACCAGGGCTGGGGTGAGGAAAATGAATTTAGAAACAAGAGTTATAACCAAACCTTTTCTTTGCAGGTAGGGCCGTGTGGATTTCAGAACAGAGAGGAAAATGGACAGGAGCTCCACCAGGTCTCCCGTGACGTGGCAAGCTGTGGCCTCGTGGTACATCATGTGCAACGTGTTAAAGGACTGGGAAGAAGAAAAAAAGTGCCAAAATTTTATGTTGCCAAACTAAGGTACTGGCCAGTATTCCTCTTCTTATCCTGCAGATAGATTTACATTTATTTTATGCTCAAACAAGGTATTTTATACTCAAAAAAAAGAAGGTGTTGGATATAATCACAAAGTTCTTCATTTGTTTTCCAGGTAAAAGGTTACTGTTACCAGCTCAAAATAATTACCAAGTTTTCACACCTTTATCTACAACCCAGTGAACAAAATGGCATTTGAGACACAGTATTTTTATATCCCTGTAATCCCAAACTGCCTCAGCCAGCAGACAAAGTGATACAGGAGGTGCACAAAGCCAGATATATGAATTTGGGGAAAAAAAGGCAGGATTAAGATGGATGCCAGTCATTTTTCAAAATGCTGCTGAAGGATATATGGCTGTGCATCAGAAGAATTACCTCTCCTTTTATACCTTGTGGGCATCTGTGATTTATAGAAACATTGGGAAGGAAAAGCAACTTATTTCTGAACTACAAAGATCCCAGCACAGGATGTAAGAGCAGATATTTAACCTGCTGGGGGATTTGAGAGATAAAGGAGCAGCAGCTTCAGCCCCCAGAATGCAAACCTTGCCAGGCCCTTTTTGTGTTACAGTGAAGACAAAAAACACACAGCCACCCTTGAGTGGGAAACTTTCCTGCATGTGACAACTCCTTCAGGCAAAACACTTCCAGCCAACAAGGGACAGCATAAGGCCTGCTAACCTCAAGCTGGAAAGTGACATCAATTTAATTTCATTTCATTTCTAGCAATGCTTTACACAGGATAAATTCATTTTATATTACACACTCTTCACAAACTTAGTTATCCATTAACAATGGATAATTAAGCATGGGTGAGGGCTAACTAAGCTAAACCAAGTTCTTTTTATACATATCTATGTCTGCACCTTGATCTACTGACATTTCATGTATGGATAACCTCACAGCCCAGTTCCTGACCTTTTACACCCACTTTACTGGATGGAGATATTTTCATAACAAAAAGGAACAGGCATGCTAGAGTAATTAACCACAATTAATTAATCTATAGCCTTATCTTTATAACAAGCTCCTGAAAACTCAATTTTCAAATGGCACTGCACTGTTTCTGTAATTCCAGCTCTTCCTACTACACTTTTTCCCAAAAATGCAAACCAGTGACATAAAAAGAGTTAAAAGAATTTTTTATAGAAACCATACAAAAATGGGACTGGAATCAACCTGAAAGCATCACCCAGTCCACATGGCAAAGGCAGACTAAATATCCTTGACAGATGTTTGCTCCAAGTCCTTCTGACAACTCCCAGCTGTGCTGGCTTCCCCCCCTCTGCAGCAAAAATCCCATTCCAAAATCCCATTTTCTGCACAGCCTCAATTACCTCTGAGCCACTTGTCCTGCACCATGGATTTTCCCAGTTTAACATCTCTCCTGAACACAGCATCCTACAGGTGCCAACAATGAATCTTGCTTTTATGCTTTCTGCAGCACATGCAGAGTTTGATTCTTGTTCTCAGAGGGATCCTGCCCCTGCAGCACTGCCAGTGCTTTCCATGATCAGGTTCTCATCCATCACCTCCACCATGGAGTGCTGGATGGAATCCAGGGTGTTCCACCCATCAGGACAGGGGGATGTGCAGAGTGAAACTGCTGGGAGCAGGCCCTGACATCCCAATCCATGGCACAGGTGCATGATTTCATATTCTCCATTAAATTTTGAAATAATTCTGGTCTGGTCTCATGGACCAAAAATCCACTTAGAACAATTAGATGTGCTCCAGAAATGCATTTTAGATTTAGTTCCATCAAAAAGAAATGGAGTTTTTGTGTTTCAGACCACTCCTTGCAAACAAAGGCACAACAGGTAGGAAAGAGAAGGAAAACTGCCTCAAAGGAGGGACAGAAATATCAACCACAACTGCAGCTGAGCACCCTTTAAGTTACTTCTGCTTTTTAACCTGTAGTCTTAACACTTTTTAGGTACTAACAACTGTGTGACTGCACTTAGCCATTCATTCCCAATTACCTGGAATAGAAGGAATGACACCAAAAAACCAAATTTATTCCTCTCAGCATAATCTGTTGGTGGTTTTCCCTCTGTCCTGAGAAGCAGGCAAACAATTTCCTAATCTTTCTAGTACTAAAAAGAAATCTTATTAAAGCTGACAGGGGAAGCACCAGGGTGGGATGTTTGCTATAATTAAATAACAAAGTAATTACCTCAGTCATCAGAATCAATCCTCTATTGAACACAACGAGAAGTCTGTCTTCATCAGATTCTAATAATATTCTGAAGGCACTAGGACAAAAAATGCAAACATTGAGAACACTGAAAATCTCATCCCAAGCTTAAAATTGTTATACTAATGCTGTATTTTGGAAAATAATCACAAAAGAACAAAGAACCCCCAAAATAACATCATTCTTCTCATCATTATTCCCCCCCACTTTTTAATTTAAAAATGTCTCTGCCATCAACCTCCTCTATGTTATGGAAAGTAATTTATATATAACCATTACAGAAATATTTCCCATACAACCCCTGCAAAAATGTGGAAAATTATATTCTTGGAAAGACAGAAGTTTATGCTTCTTAAATGATACATTTAAATAGATTCAGTCAAGCATATGTTTGGCCTTTTAAATGTCTGCAAACGCTTTTATCAGAATATTTGATGCTTGCAGCAGAACAGAAAGGAAAGCATTGTGCTGATGAATGGTTTGGGACAAGGTGGCTGTGCCAGGGCAGTGCCAGGTGAGGGCAGGAGCCCCTCCAGGTACCACAGCCTGTCCTTTCCAGCAGGCTTTGACTGCACCAAGAGCTCCTGTAAAACCCCAGCCCTGACCTGCATGCACAGCCATTTACAGCTCTGCTGAGAATGCCCAAGCAGCGCTTTCAGCTCAGAGCAGAAATGGAACACTCTTTGAAGGTGCCATACAATAAAACTGTCCCACAGGCACAATTCCTACATCACATTTGTGCTCCAGAGGAACAAGTGCCAGCAGCAGCAGCTGCAACCACAGCTCTGCTCCTGGGGAAGGCTGGGGAGGGAATTCCAGCTGGGCTGGGCATGAGCACAGGGCTGTACCTTATGAGAGTTGTCCAACAGGAGCGTCCGTCCAGGCAGCGCAGGTAACAGCTGATGGTGGTTTTCTTGAATTGCTTGATGTCCTCGATCTCCTCCTCTCTCATGTCTGGCCTCTGAGCTACAAACAGCTGCATGAGGTTAAACAGCTCCTCTACTGCCTAGAACACACACAAACACTTGGTTAGAGTCAGCTCTCTCACTGTGGTACCGTTCAGACTTTCTGCCAAAGCTATACAAGGAGATGTTCTGATGCCTCCTAAGAGCACAGCTCACTGCTGCACTTATGTGCACATAATGTACCTGTGTCACATTTATATGTACAAAGCAATCTGAAATCCCCATCCCTGGGACCAAACATGCAGAAAGCTGCTTGTGCCAAACCCTGCTGCAGCCCCATATGCCTGGCAAACACCAAACACCGAGGGTAACTCGGGTCCCCTGCCAGACAAACAGACTTCTGAGGGGAGATGCCAACAAGGAGAGCAATGGGACTGTCAGATGTAACATTTCCCTGTGAGCTGATCTAGGCAGGAGTTCAATGTGGAACATTCCCTGCATCCTCCTCCTCTTCACAGTGTGATGGCAAGCCTTGTATTCTTTGTGTGCCTGCACAGCCCAAAGGATCCCAAAGCAATACGCACAGTGTGATCATTCACACCCAGGCCTGTGGTTTGAGCATCACACACAGCCTGCTTTGCCCAGCACCTGCTCCCTGCTGGTGTCACTGTGTGTCACTGACAGCACAACTCCCAGCTCTGCCAAAGGTACCTGCCTGTTCCCAAGGGGAACCAGCCTGTCCTCCCCTGGAATGCTACAGGCCAAGTGTTGGCCCTAGACCAGAAGCTGAAAGCAAAGAACAAACTGGGAATTCCTCCACCTTTGTTATAAAGCAACCTTCTTCCAAGAGACCACCATCAAGGCTTATTCCTTGTTTCTTATGACTGGGCTGGAATACTGAACAGTGGAAACACCCAGAAAACAACAACTGCTCTGCAGCAACCCCTTTGACTGTGTTACAGGGGTCTGAGGATGAGGGAAGAAATGAGGATCTGACTCCATGTTTCAGAAGGCTGATTTATTATTTTATGATATATATTCTATTAAAACTATACTAAAAGAATAGAAGAAAGGATTTCATCAGAATGCTAGCTAAGAATAGAAAAAGAAAGAATGATAACAAAAGCTTGTGTCTGACCAAGAGTCTGAGACAACTGGACTGTGATTGGCCATTCATTAGAAACAACCACATGAGACCAATCACAGATGCACCTGTTGCATTCCACAGCAGCAGATAATCAATGTTTACATGTTGTTCCTGAGGCCTCTCAGCTTCTCAGGAGGAAAAATCCTAAGGAAAGGACTTTTCATAAAACATGCCTGTGGCCAAACCCCCCCTTGAAGATCTAATGGATCTAAAGACAGGAATTACTTCCACCAGGAAACCCACACAGAACACTTTCATCACTGGGCATGTTAAGCTCCAAGAGACACCAGGCGAGAAGGGACATGGGAACAAGGGCTGGCACTCGGTGGCACTGGTCACTCACCCCAGGGTACTGGCTGGCATGGGGGGTGAGGTTCTTGAAGGCCCACTGGATGTTCTGGTGGGAGGCCAGCTGGCGGGTGAAGGCGGGCGACTGCTCGCAGCACAGGCGCAGGATGCCATAGTAGGCGGGCAGCATGCCACGGTTGAAGAGCACCACGTCCTGGTCGTCGTGGTCGGCCAGGATGTAGTTGAAGGCGATGTTCTTGGTCACCACGGGGTTCTGAACGATCAGGCGCACGTTCTCAGGACAGTCCACGCACACGTTGTACCAGAAGGACAGCAGGGCCTGCTTGTTGTGATTGGTGGCGATGGCCGGCTCCGAGAGCTTGGGCTGGAAGAGGTTCCATAAGTCCATGAAGTAGGTGGAGAACATGAGCTTCTCGGTTTTGGAGATCAGGCAGTAGGTCATGAAACTGAAGTAGGGCACCAGCTTGGTGGTGCCGTGCACGGCGGCGTCCACGTAGAGCTTGGCCCGCGAGAGCAGGCCCAGGAGCACGTTGTAGACCTGGTGCAGGACTACAGTGGTGTCGGGGCTGAGGGGCAGGTCCCGCGTGGGGATGTGCAGGGAGCGCGTCGAGCGGAACATCTGACGGAAGGAATTGCTCGGAATAAGCGACACCAAGAGATAGGCTGCGGCTTCAAATAAAAACAGATTTGTTACGCCTCTGACAGTGACATACCTGCTTAACAGCCATGCAAACAGCAATTCAACTGCACCCCCTGCTCCACTGACACATTTCAAAGCATTTTACTGAAGCTGGTATTGCTGTATTCACACTAGAAAAAACCCCAAGTGGGTAACAGCAGCACAAAGCACCTTAAAAGGGGTGCTGGGATGTGCCACCTACGTCCCTGGCTGCTGCCTGTGCTAACACAACGCATCCCAGCACAGAATGTGACCCCAGATCCCATCACACAATGCATCCCAGAGGTTTTCCATGAGTGAAGCTGTCCACTGCTCAATCAAGAGGCCATTATCTCCTCAGAGATGTTCACAACTGGAGCCTGTTGCAAAGCTGTACCTCCGGTTTTCCCATCTCCCCCAGCCACGGAAACGTGTTAAACATCAGTGGCCTGCACTGTGGAGCCTCCTTTGTTAAAGAAATGGAGTCAGGGAAGGCTGAAAATGCTCTCTGGCAATGTGACAGTGCAGAACAAACCAGAGAGCCAGGATACCCTGGAACCCGGGAGGAAGCACAGACAGCTTCTCCTTGATCCACAAGTTCAAAGGACTCAGCTGGGGATTCTTGTGGAAGAACAACATGTACTCCTGCCACCTATTGCACAACCAACGTGATGGACACAATGGAAAACCTCTGGAATTACCCCTTTTCCTTCTTTAGGTTTTCCTGGACTTTGCAGATTAGCCTCTTAAAATAAAGAACCTACCAATGTATCATTCAAAGTACCAAAGGAAAACAGTTTTTTCATCAAAACTGGTAACACCTTTGGATGAGGCACCACAGTTATCCCAAGATTTTAAAACCCAGCAATTCTACAACAACTAGAAAAGGAAGAAAAGCCAAGCACAGGAGCATGCAACTCAGTGCAAGAGGTGACAACTTTTCTCCAACTAAAATCCACTTACAAGTTCTCACTCGAGGGTAGTTGTGTGCCAGGAGGAAGCGCTCCACCCAGTTCTCCATGTTCTGCAGGACCCAGCTGTGAGCCAGTTTATTCCGAGGGGTTTGCACAGCCAGCCAGTCCAGGCACTGAGAGGGGTTGTACTCAATCACCTACAGACAGGGGGAAATCAAGAGAATACATTAATCTTCCTACTATGCACTGATTGTATCACAAACCCCTAAAATCACTTCCAACGTTTCTTTTTAAAATCACTTAGGGCTATCAAAGCTCCTGCCAGACTGAGCTGCTCTGCACACAAAGAGAACCTTATTAAATTTCACTGGTTTGTGCTTCTGAACCCTGCTCAGAGTTTTGGAAGTACAGTCTAAGCCCAGGAAATTACTCTGCCTATTCTTTCTGCATATTACGAGATATTTAGGAGTTGAAATATTAAGCACTAAGATGGAACAACCTTGTCTTTATAAACAAGTATTTCTTAGAAATATCTAACACAAACCTTAACACTGAATCAGTATTTTTATAAGTTATATCAAAAGAAAATATATGCTATGCAAAGATGTTCATACAGCTTCATGCTGAGGGTATTTTTTACTGAATATACAATTTCAAGGAATAAATTCATCCAGTTCTTTCCAAAGGCAATGAATGCTGTTGTGCAAACCTTGAGAGAATAAGAAGAAAACAAAGCTCCCTGAGCTTTTCTAGCTCTGTGTAGCTGGAAATTTGTTGATATAAGGCCAATGAATGTCATTTTGTTTAGTTTCTAAAAACCATTTTCTTTCTACCTCAAGGCCCAGGTGCCCAGACAAGGAGAAGTTTTACTCTAAGGAACCAGAGGTAGTAACTGGTTTGCTGAAGCTGTTCCCAGTTCCCCTACTCCACCTGAAGAATTTGAGCAGCTGACACAACCATAATTCTCCTCATAAAATTTTAATCTGATTTTAAAAATAAACACCTTAAGAACAATCTCCTCCCTTTATTTAGAAATGACAGATTGCTCTGTCAGGTTTCCTGGGTAATGGCTGGAGGGAATGTCCAAGAAAGACACAATCATTTCTCAGTGTCTGCAGAGCTCAATCACTTTCAATGACTTCCAGAAGCTGGAGTGGCTGTGAAAGCAGATTCTGCAGCCCAAGCCTGGGCATTCCCTGCTGGCTCTCACATCCCTGTGTCACCAGCTGGGTGTCACTGTGCCCCTGGAGATGTGCAGTTTAACTGCCTTTAGCTGAGGTGCAGCAGCTCCAGCTCATCCATCACATCACTGTGATCCTACAGCTGCTCCTGAGCACAGGAAACCCTTTGGAAGAGCAAATCCATGTCCATCCCAGAGTGCTCCAGCCCCATTTTTAAAGGGAATTAAAGGGAATGAGCTGGTGCTCAGCAGTCTGCAGGCTGGCCATGCTGCTCTCAGCCAGGAATGAAGAGCCTGAATTGTACTGGGAGCTCAGAGAGCAGCAGGAGAACAGAAACCTTTGATGGCTCATCTGTGGCTCAGATAAAGGAATTCATCCCTGTGCCCATTTGGGTAAAAAGTCTCTCTCATTTGGAAACAAGCAAGGTTGGTCCTGCACACAGCAATTATCCAGCAGACCCAGTCTGGCACTATTTTATGCATTAAAAGTGTTAATGGACATTTTACAGAGAACCAAAAATGACAAATGAATATTCAAGGAACCCGTACATAAAGGCCAAAACACCCACAACCAAATGATGGGTATTGAAACATTTTACAGGCCTTGCAAAAGGATAACTGAGAAAACAATATGAAACTTGTCTAGAAAAAGCATTCTAGGCCCTTATTATGAATCAATTAATTTCTCAATAAACTAAAATTTGAAGTTAAACAGGAAGAGCCATTAAGTTACAACAGAACTTTTTAATGTCTATTGGCTGTTGCTGCTTATTCAGAAGAGGAATGATAATTAAAAAATCAAGGACTGATGCAGGAAGGATAACAAAAAGCAAAAGAGACATAAAAGAAGCAACAAGAGAAAGAAAATTTAGCTTCTGTTTTATTTTACATATTGTACCTCCCATATCCTCTGCAGGATGTAAGAAGCAAAGGGTGGCATTCCTGGAGGTCCACCAGCAAATTCCATCAGCATGGTCAGCAATTTGAAAAAAGGATTGGCTGCCTGTAATGCACAAAAGGGGAAAATATTCAATTTCATCTATTTCATTTCATCCACCTTTTTTTAAAGAATATTTTTTAAAAACCTCAATGTCTGTAAGATTTCTATGAACTTCAGACATGAATATTTACAATACTTTTATCTCTTACTATTTAATCTGTACATAATCCATATATAGCTATAAATTAAGCCACTGGTTACAGTCAGTGCAAAGCAACAGGATCATATGAGACAGGAGAAGTTATAGGAAAAAAAAATAGATATGTATGCATTTATTAGAGGAAATATAGACATTATTCTGGAAAAAGGAAAGCATCAAGCTCTTCATTGCTGAAGAATTCACCCATTTATCATGGTTTATATCACCAGCTCAGTTAAGTTATATTTTTTATGTATTTACATAACATGGAATATGGATCCTGGGAAGTTTATCCAAAAGCATCTCATTTTGAGGTTTTACACTGCCAAGACTCATCCAGCTTTTAATAACATTTCAACAAAGTGGTTACAACTATAATTATATATTTTGCATCTGGAATCCATTTGGAACTCTCAGTATTTCTGTTATTACCAGGGCAGGAATTTACTCTGAATGAGAAATGTTTTTGCCAGCACAGAACTGCAAAACAGTGCCCCAAATCCTGAAGAGTCTGATAATAAGTAATTATCTCCACTTATTCTTGTACACAATACTTTAATGTTACCAGCTTTATAAAAGAAATTCATATGGGTGGAGAATCTAGAAATGTTATTTGATTTGAATAAAACTTTCATCCCAAGTGGCACAGCAAATTCCTGTTTTACAAAACTTCACAAACAGTGCAGTTAGACTTCATTCAATGGCACAAAAACTTCCATCTTCCATGCAAGATTTTTGTTGAGCAAAGGATTATTTCTTTGATTTAAACCAGGAAATTTTGACTACAGATGATTTACTGGACAGGTGGTGTGCTCACATACCTCAGGAGTCAGCTTTGCTATAGATGTGAACAGCATGGACACAATCTTGAAAAGAAAACAGACAGAACTCGTTAGATTTGTGTTTATTCAGTGCAAACAACCCCCATTACCCCACGAGACTTGTGAGGGGGTGCCAGAGAGCAGCTGCAGGTCCCTGCCACTCACGTGCTCTGCCAGGCGGTTGTTGTAGCGGCACAGGCTGAAGATGAGGTTGCACGTTTGCCTGATGTTGATCCCATCACGGATATGTTGGAATAAAAAAGGGAAACCCTGCAAGAAAAAGCAGAGACAGCTGACTGCCTACAGCTACACAGAGGGCTTGGGAGGCTAGAGCAGCCGTTTTTAACTTGATTACCTTTCCTCCTGTCAGTGCTGCCATGTCGTTTTGGGACAAGGTCAAATGCCTGCAATACAAAGGAAAATGATCATTTTATTTTACTTCAGCTATGATTATGGTTAGGGAGACACTCAGGACAGAGTGTTAGTGCATATACTTCAGTATCACAATATACAAGAGACAATAAAGGTGTTGATGTAAAACTGAACAACAAAATAAAAGCTGTACTGAGATAAAGAAAGAAAACCAAATGTGGCCAACTGAATGTGTTCAAGTATTTAACCAAAGTCTTTCATTTGGTCAACAATGACAGTCCCTTTTTAAGTTATTAAAAATATAATGGGCTCATACACAAGCTTAATTATGCTGCTAAAAAAGCCCCCAATAAAACCCTCAGACAAACCCACAAAATCTCTGACTCCTTTCTGGACTATAAATTCTAATCTGATTTTGTTTTTTCAGGAGCTCTTGCCTTTCTGAGCGAGACTGTTCCACCAGAAGAGCAATCAGGGCAATCATCTTTTCAAGAGCAGCAGGCCTGTACTTCTCTTCTGCTAAAGAAAGGATATCTTCCTCTTCCTCCTCTTCCTCCCCTTCTTCCTCAGAAAGCACTTCCACCTGGGGCTAAGGAAAAACCAGAGAACTTCAGTGTGGACATTCTGTGCCTTCATTTCAAACGCCTTTGTATTACCCTGTCCTATTTCTGCAAACCATTTCATCAACTTGCATGAACCAAAGCAGGTAAGTACCTAATCAACTGACTTTCACATTGAAACATTCACTTTGCACAAGCAAAACTGTATTTACAAATGCAAGAGGCAGGCTGGTTGAAAATGTGGTCTATTTAACAAAAAGAGCAGGTAAATTTAAGAACCTAAGTTGTACAACAGGAGTAAGTAATCAATTGTTAATAGCATTACCATTAGTATCAAGTTAAGGGCAACTTTATTGTTTTTACTCAGTGCCTATTTCTATACTAAATAATAAAAGTCAATTCAACATTTTTTTTAATATTATACTCACTTAAACATTGAAAACAATTGTGGAAGTGAAGCAATTTTAATGTCACAGCTGAAGGATGATTCAAGACACAGCAGTAATTATCAGAGATGTAAAAGAGGCAAGATGAGCTCCTGTTATATAAAATACTCCAACTTACATTCTCAGGCCCCTTGGTTCCCATGTAGAAGTGGACCATGGTGGATATGGCTTGCAGAGAGAGCAAGAACTGGCTCTGAAAAACACAGGGATGATGGGATAATTGAAAATCCATTTGTGCAGAGGCAGCAGCACCTGCCCCAGGCCAGGGCTGTACCCACCTCCTCCTCTCCCATTTTGGCAAACTCGTAGAGGAAGGCGAAGTACTCGGTGAGGTGCTTGCTGTGGGGCTTGACGCCGTGCTCCATGATGGACAGCAGCGTCTTGACGAAGCGCGTCACGCACGAGCGGCTGCCGATGTCCTCCACGGGCCCGTCCATGTCATCAGAGCTGCAGGAACAGCAGCCAGGGTGGCCGTGGCACTCACAGCACGGGCACAGAGCCATCCTCAGCCAGGGCAAACACAGCACGCACAGAACCCCTGCTCTCACAGCCCTCACCCCTCAGCCGCAGCCTGGCTAACACCCAGCCCAGCCCAAGGGAGCATCAGGCACTTCAAATGCTGAGGAGCTCAGCAAACTGGGGCTGTGAACCAAGAAAGAACTCTCAGAACAACAGCACTGGGGATCTCCTACTTAAAATCATCCTCTTGATTTGCTTGTTCAATTTAATGGGAATGAAATTATAGCTATGGAACCGAGGCAAGGCACCCTCCTGAACACAAGAGCCCCATCCACCTTCAGCCTCAGACACTCTAAATATTAACTCTGTATCACACACGGTCATTTTCCAGCTCAAAATCCCAATCTAAAATGGAAAGCACAGATCTGCTTTTCACTAGATTCATGCAGCTACTGAATGAGAATTTTAGCCTCAGACATCTGCTCAAGGTTGGACCTTGTCACTGAACAAAGCCAAGTCACAGACACAAGTAAGGCTTCCAAAGCAAATTCAGTTCTGCTTTTTGCCATGAAAATTCTGTCTTCATGCCCTTAATTTTGATATGGCAGCATAGTTATTACAACTCTGCCATTTTCACTCTGGGGAAAATTCATTATCACAATCACAACTTTAACACAAGAGGTGAAAGAAAAAACACTTTTTTCTTCTCATCATGTATTAAATAGAGCTTAAGTGTTTCATAATTGGAGATAAAGTGTCAGTTTTCTTGATGACAAGGAGAGCAAAGGAGAATCCAAGAGGGCTCTTCCTCCTTTTTGACAAAACCTGTGATTTAGTTATAGAATTACCCTCTGATCTCCAAACTTTTTTACAGGATGTACAAATAAAACCTTCCACCTTTCTGCCTCCAGATCCAATTCACAGAAGGATTCTCAAGTCTGAGCACAGTGAGATTTACACTTGCAGTGTCCAAGTGATAGGAAAAACAAAGACCACGTTGGAAACCTACTCTAAGGGAGCAAATGTCTCAAACCATGTGACACTGCCCTTTGCAACCCTACTGGTATTTTTAAATAAATCCGAGCAGTTTGGGCAGAATAACAAAGAACAATTAGCACTATTTCAGCTTTCCATGGCTGTTTTGAGCGACTGATCAATAAAAGCAGCTGCAGCAATGACCAGAAGTTGGCAGGGGGTTTATTTTACCAGTCTTCCATTCCTGGCTGCAGATAGAGGTGAGCATGCACTGGCCTCAGCCTCTGGATCACGTGGATGCACAAGCGCTGGAACATCTGCAAGGAGAAAGGAGTGAGCTGCACACCCTCAGTCCTCCACAAAAAGGGCCATGTGCCACTCCTAAACAAAGAATATTCTGTCCCCAAGCCCCAGCTCCTCACAGGTTCAAAGTTTGAAAGACAAAGCTGAGATTGAATTTTAACAGAAGAGCCAAACCTGGTTTTTATGAACAGATCTCATGGAGGAACCCTAAACCCAGCCTTTAATATTGGTGTGCACTGAAACATGACTCTACTTATTTCCTTCTATCTCTACTGTCTGAAACATTTTGATATTTTGGCAAGATGTTTTTTAATTCTGCTGCTGGCTCATAGAACTCATGTGAAAATTGGAAGGAAATTCCCTCCAGTAATTTCTGTTCTGTAAAGCATTCATGAGAAGACCTTGCCTACCTTGCACAGAGTTTTCCCATGAAATATATTCTTTTACTGATGCATTGCATCCAAAAACTATGTATGGGTCTGCATGGAAATATCACTTTAATAGCCAGAAATCCAACTGAAGAATTCAAGTGACATAGAGTAACTGTTAAAATTATTCCTTAACAACTTGCAAAGAAGTTCACTTGTAAGTGACACTATCAATAGCTGGATTTGTGAATGTCCAAATGCTACTAATATAGGGGTTTTTTTTTGAAGTATTTGTAGAAAAGGGTATCAACAAAGCTTTGTGGCATAATACTGTAAAATTACCTCTACCCACAAAAATTTACTACAGAAGTTTCAAACTGGAGCTTTGACGAGTACTGAATGTAAACAGCTTGATCATTTTTTTTTTGTTTTCTGATGGTGGAGCATGATGAACTATTGTTGAATTAATTCAAAAAAACCCAATTTTTTAAAATGTAAAGTGTTCAGATTTGCAGAGATCAAGAGGGAGTCACAGAAACCTTAAATTGCATCTACTGTGATTCAGTGATGCTGCCTGCACAGCTGTGCTGGGGTTGTTTCAAACAGCAACACTCCCATGGCCAAACCCCTCAGACAATTCAGGTATCACTGGAATTCAGCTATTCACTGGCAGAATCACAGCCACCACACCTGGCTGTTTCTGCTCACAGCCCAAGCAGTCACCTGGCTTGGAAAGGAACTTTTTCTTACCTGCCTCACAATCTGATTGGGACACTTTATTAGAATCTGCATTGGCCACCAATCATCATCAGCCATACGATCCAAAAACCACTGCAGAAGATACATACTGTGTTAGTTTTGTTCCACACTTGCTCTAGTCCAATCTTCTTTTTTGCATGATATTAAAGTCTGAAGAGAAATCGATGTTACTATTATTAAGGAATAGGCAAGTTTTAATCCAAGGGAAATCTAAAATGTCTTCTGTGCATGAAGGAATAAAGAAATAAAGATCAATAGCATTAAACAGGAATATAAATTTAATTCTGTTATCTTCTTATCCCTGTGCTCTGCATGCCATTAGAAAGTTACCTGGAAGAACACACTTATCCTGCAAAGGGATGTCAACAGCATAAAAACTATGCTTACAAAAAAGCATAACCTGAAGAATCTTGTAAAAAAATGACAGGATTAAACAGAGCTTCCCAAGTTAGATCTCTTTTGCATTTTAACATGTGGAAAAGCCTCACGGACTCCAGAGACCCAAAAAGTATAAAACTAACAGAGAATGACTCATTCCAAGTCAGACTCAGCAAATACCACAGCTCAGTCTTCTCATTCCCAGAATTTTGGAAAAGGAAAGACAGTTTAAAATGAAGAATCAACATCATTACTTTTAATTGTACTTGAGTATTCTTTACTACATTAATGTCTTCACCCAAACATCTCAGGACTGCACCCCATTGAGACAAATGTACACCCAAATACTGAATGCTACATAATTTACCAACTTTGAATGAATTTATAAAAGCATCATGGATTTAACTCCTTTCTACTGAATAAAGTCTAAGGCAGGACACAGTCTATGCTATGCTCCTTGTACATTTAAATTATCACAGAAACACTCTCAAAACTTTTCTTCAATATCTCAAAATTGCTTTCAGCAAGACCACAGCAAATTCTTTGTCTTTCCATGTCTGGTGTGAGTTAATTTAAGCTGGTCTTCATTACACAAGTCACGATGTAAAAATTAATCAAACAAAGAGTTTGTGACACTGGCTTTCTCTAATTCCAGTGACAAAATGATTTTGGCCTGTGGTCTCAACAGAGGTTTCTGCAAATAAAACTAAGTCATTCCCCAGGATCTGCAGTTATCAGATAGGAAGAATTTCATCTCACAGAGCACAAATATACCAAATACAGCAGTTCATAGTCCAAAATATTCCAGGGATACGAACCTCCAGGAAAGTTAAACAATATATAGAAAGTTGGTTTGTACTTTGCTGAGTTCCTAAGTCACTTACTTCACAAGCTGCCTGACTGTTATTAAACTGTTTTGTTAACAGTTCAATCCACTGAAGCATTGTAGGCTGTGAAAAGAAATACAGGAAAAACTGTAACTTCAAATAATGAATGTCAGCATCATCTTTACACATTTCTAAACGGTTCAGTAAAGCACCACATCTTAACAATTATAAACAATAAACATTTTATGAATAAATAATACATTGCCCCTACAGATAATACCAGCCCATACATTTTTACGTACAGATTATATTCCATTGTGCAGTGCTCACTAAAATTGGGTAAATTACACTCTAAACATTAACTTTGCATCCTATATAGTAATTTTACAGCTCAAAATCCCACTTTTAAAATGCAAAGTACACATCTGCTTTTGACTAGATTCATGCAGCTACTTAATGAGAATTTACAAGTAAATGGAATACCTTTTCCTTTGAATGAATAAATGTCTCTAGTACAAAGGAAGTGCTTAACTGGAAAAAAAAATGGAACCATTAATTTAGAATGCATGAATTAAAATGTCAACAAGGAAACAGTTAAGAGAGGATGAGATTCTTGGGAAATCCTTACCTTTGCTGTCATCAGAGAAACCGCTTTGGGATCTGGTAGTGTACTTGGGATGCTACTACACAACTGCCACATAAACCTAGAGTCAGTAATTTTATTTGTTAATTAAAATAAACAATGATAATCTGCAAGAAGAAAAGAAGCATTAATATTACATTTTTAAAGAAAAACTTACCCAAAATATGTATGTTCAAAAATGTTCTTGTCTTGAAGGAACTGCATATTATCATGCCATATCCACTGAAGAAAAAATGCTACCATCAGATACAAGAAAGCAGTTTACTTCACTAATTAAGCATGATTTTAAAAATATTTAAATGATTCCAAGGCTAAAAGCCATAGAATTTTTCTGTATGAAAAACTCTTTCTGAAAGCACTTTCTTTAATTTAAGGAATTGTCTCAAAGCTTTTTTGTTCATACTACAGTGAGTACTGGCTGTGCCAGCCATGGGACTGCAGAGCTTAAACCTTCTCCTCTTTCTGTGGCCTCATTTTTTACCAACTTATTTATTCAGAGTTTTGGGCTAAAATTTGGAGAATAACAAGTTTAAAAAGAAGCACAGCTGAAGTCTAACCCAAAGCTTGATGAGCTCTGAGAACTTCTGATAAATTCCTAAAGAATAAGATTTGAATCTCCCTTATTAAACCAGAACAGGATTTCTGCATCTCTCCTGTTCCTCTCTCTAAAGTGATGTTTTTGATCACATCAATTCATAGGGATTTTCACAGCAATACAGTTTGAACATTTAACTCTGATAAAAATCTATTAATAATTTTAAGACCAAGAAGGATAAAAGCATGATCTGATTTGCTGGCTAGGAATGGAGAGACATTTTCAATTAAGAACCTAAAATAGGCAGATGCTGAAGCAAACTTCTGGCCAGAGGGAGCAGGGACATGAAATTTTTCAGGTGGCAAAAAGGGATTTATCCCATATACAGGACAGAATGAGAAAACATCTAAAATTCACATAAAATATAAATCCTAATTCCCTTCCTATCCCATGACCATCTCCTAAGGCAGACAGCAAAATGAAAAGACTGCCACCTTAGTGCTTTAAATTATTTTTGCTTTCCTATGTTTATTCAGATTTCCGATGTGTTTAGGGCCTCCTAGAGTGTTTTAAAATTGGTGTTAAAACAAATCAACTTGTACCTCCAGCAATTCTGATGAAACATCAAATTTGTAGTCTTTGCCATTTTCCTCCTCTGGCTCCATCCGTTTATAAAACAGCATGTAAGCACTGTGTGTCTTGGAGAGAAAAACATCTGTATAATTTTTGCTTTGAGAGAGAAATCATGAAATCAGAAATATAATCACACAACAAGGCTTTGGAAGAGAAATACCTTTTCAAAGGAGAAGTCCATAAACTTATCAGTAACAGAATCATAAGTTTTTGTCTGTCAAGAAGAGAGCAAAACCATTAATTACAAGTTTTTTAATGCTTTAGTTTCTAACAGTTTGTGACAGTTCACTTGCACATTTATTTCATGATATTTATGAGGGTTGCTGACAATTTAGTTCTTGCTCAAAGCAATCTTCTTTCTTTTTTTCTTCTCTGGCCTATTCTGAATTTTCAAAGCTACTGTGCAACACTCTGCCTCCATCCCAAGCAATTTCCTGCCTCATCCATCTCCCTGACACCTCTTCTTTAGAGGCATCTAAAGGTATTTTATCTCTGTGCCAAGCAAAGGAATTTTTTGGTTTTATTTCAGCATATTGTCTTTCCCAGACAAGAGAAGTTGTCTTATGCCCAGGACTGCTTTAGTAAGACACTGTGTTAGCCATAATGTGCTTTATATCCTGTATACAGCCATAAATAATGATCAATTCTGGCACAGCCTGAGAACTGAGTGCTGTTTGTATTAATAATGTGTAAAAATTATTAATACAGGCAGCAATACAAGGCATAGACAGAGATCAAAATGCCTTTTTTTCCCCCCAGAATACACCTAAGCTTGAAGTAATGATTCCTTCATCAATGGTCTGAGCTAAACAGCCACCCCAAGCAAGGATTCCTAAATTAGCTCACTTTTTTATACCTGAATAAATGGGTATAATGTATAAATAAATGGGTATCATATATATTATTATTATTATATATCATATATCATATATTGGTAGAATATATATTTTATATGAATAAATGGGTGTAATGATTCCTAAATCAGCTTCAGACTCACTTTTTTATAGCTGAATGAATGGTATGATAAAAACCAGATTTAGTACAGAAATACCTCTTGTTTGGAGAGACACTTCACTAATTAACTTTGCCTCATTAGTAATCCCTGCACTGTACTTGTGACAGCTTCCTTTAAAGGCTCATACCAAGAGCTGGGCTGTACGAGGCTGCAACAGACACTGGGAGAGTTGAACATGACAAAAATTGAAGTGATAACTTACAGTCATTTCTCCACCAAAGCACTCAGAAGCAAGCTGGGCAGAGTCAAAGGGTTTAACTTCAGCATCATTGAAAAGGTACCTGCAAGGCAGGAAAGGGCTTTGAAAGATCTGCTGCTCATCTCCAGGGCAAATAAAGCCTCGTGAGCACCCCCAGTGACTCCTAGATTGAAACATTTCTGTTCATTGCTATGTCTTGTTTAGATCCCAGGAAATGAAATTCTGGTCCCAAAGTCCTGTTTGGTGTTATTGCAAGTTCCTTCTTCCAGTTCTCTCTGGAGAACAGGAAGAGAGGAAGCCTTGTCTCCCATGGCAGGGCTCCAGTGAGAAATGGAGACAGCACATCCAAAACCAGCAGGCAGAGCGTGCCCTGCTCTGCTCTGTCTCCCTCCTCCTTCCCATGCCCCTGTCCCTCCCCTTCCCCAAATTCCCCAGCCAGAAACGTGGCTGCATCCTCAGCCAAGGTACCAAGCACATTTCAGGAAGGACAACCCAGGAAATCTTTTCTGCTGCAGTAATTCCAATCTGGTCCCATCAGGAAGCAATCCCTGTGCTGAGGCCAGCACAGCATTCCCTGCCACCCCTGTGTTTGAGGAACCACAAAACTCTCCTGGTTACTGATCTGCAGGCCAATAAATCAATAAACAACCTTACAACTATCAAACTCCAACATCCTCTGCTTTCCAGAGGAGCCTACAGGATGTATCCCCTGTGTAACTGCACCTAACAAAGCCAACAAGCTTTAGATACTAAAATATGGAAACAGGAATGGCCCAGCTCACCACTTGTTGTTCTTGTAAGCATGAGGATTGACAATGTCCCTGATAAAACTGTAGTAGTGGCCCCCATCTGCTGTTCCTGTGTGAACTGTCACACCAATCAGGTCATACTCATAACTCTCAGTTTCCTTCAGATATCCACCATCTTCCTTAAAACCTGAAAGAATTCAACACCAGATTTATCAGTATTTCCTGGCTTGGGTTTAAAGACAGGTGTTTGCTAAGGGAGGCAAAAGCCTCCCCTGAAATGGAAAATGTAAACCCCCTCCCTCCAAATCGCTAAAAAATTTAAATTAAGGGGCTCTCAGGCAAAAGATATGGGAGCAGGAATAACAGTTCTTTACTAGGGAAGAAAATAAAAAGATAAAATAAACAATGCAGTGAACTAAAACATCACCATCTTCCTTAAAGCCTGAAAGAATTCAATACAATATTCAATCAGTTAAATCCTAACACCCAAACTTCAACATTAGCAACAAACTGGATGCAATTATTTGCAATTCCTCTCATACTTTATGATAAAATACAAGATTAATTCGAATTAAAAAATACTTGGAACCCAAAACTTGGCTATTTTTCTTATGTGAAATACAGTGTGTGACTTTGGGAATATAGGTTGATTAAAGTTATATTTGATTTTACTTGCTTCTGTTCTGTATACAGGAAGTGAATATACAAATAAATACACAGTGTATAACACAGAGAACAAAAGCTTGCTGAATCCATTTTATGAGCAAACCTTCTTTCCTGTCGTTTTTTCCCATGAGGAAATCTTCAGTGTAGGGTGTCATATCCAGACGTAAAGGGAATGAAAAATGGGTGTTGACTTTCTCCTTCATCATGGTCACCATATTAAAAGTGTATCTCATGGTGTTGAAGCTTAAGATTCGAGGTAGTTTCTTAAAACAAGCCCTGAAGGGTCACAAACAAACGTGAGTTACAAAAGCTGAGGAGGGGGAAGTGGATTTTCACAGGGATTTTAAACATTTATTTCAAGTGCAACACTAGAGATCTGTTGCTAAGACATAAATATAAAATTCAGTGCCCAGAGCAGGGCAGACTGGGTGGCAGCAGGAAGGTCAAATTTAGCCCATTAAACAATTCTGTTTATGCTGTCATTGTACCTTGGAAGAAGCAGCAAATTTACTCATATGGCAGGAACCTGCTTTCTAAAATAGCATCATAAAATCAGCCGTGAATGAACTCAACAATGCAAATCCCCTCACTGCAGGGAGTTACACCTTCCAAAGGACAGAGGCAACATCTCCTGCATAAAACCTCATAAAACTTCCAATAATTATTTTCAAGTAAGTTATTCTCTCACCCACGTCATTTAAAACAACAACGTTTTCCAACTCTAACAAAGGAATTTCTTAGCTGCAACACCAAGACAACATAAAATTTTCATTTACTTTCTCTTTATAAGCAGACTTTGCGAAACATGGAAACATTTTCAAAGCTACAAATTTTAATTAAGAAATTCAGGGTGACATGAAACCCAAGCAATTATTCCAACCTCTGAAAGCTTTTAGTATTTTAAACCCAGGACAAATGTTTCCAAAGGTAATAATTTCTGGGGTTTTTTTTAATTCAGAAAGGTCATGAACATTTTCCTGTGTGTTTTGCTAAGATACTTTGGATTCTCTGGTTTGGAAATTTGATTTCCTTCTAATTTCTGGTTTGCACACGGATCCTTACAGGCCTACATGATATAAAGTGAATTGAAGAGCAGAGTCCTGTTCCATCTGAAGGATTACTGTTATTCCAAATGGAATTCCAGGGATTTACTAGAAAGAATATTAGGAATATTAGGAATATTTCTTTCTCCCTGGCCACACCTTTTCTCAGCCCGCACTTTCTTCCCACAGTGAGAACACGTGTACATGTTGTCACCTTCCAAGGTGTCTTTAATAGTTACTTCATCAAGAGATTCCTACATGGAAAAAACAAAACAAAACAAAGTTATCTTGGATATTTATATCTTGTGCCTGCTTTCCAAACCCCTCCCTTTCAATCTTACTTTGAGTTTAATGAACATTTCCATAAGTTATGAAAATAAAGCCCCAAAATTTTTTACAGAAGAGCACACACCTGAACTAAAAGAATTTGACAGGAAAAACAGTTTCTAACCCATACACAGAATTAAGGAACCAACTTAAAAATGGTGCATAATATTCCAAGCTGTCTCCAAGAATTCAAATCCGTTAAATTCAAATTTCAACTGTGGGGATAATGGTTGTTTAAAAAGCTTGAAAACACAGAATTATGCTGGTGTAAACTTTAAATTAATTTCACAAACAGTAGTACTTGTAAATGTTAAATCTTTTGACATTTAAAGTTCTCATATAAAATGACCCCAGCATGTTTAAAACAAGTAAATAGTGATTATTGACTGTAAAACAACAGCCAATGCCTGCTGCTGGCTCCAGCTGATGGCACACAGCAGTGAAAAGCTGAAAATAAACTATCCCATAATATCAACCTCAAAACACCCCAAAACTGGAGTGCAGACAAAAAGCATTGGCATCTTTAGTGTGTGGCAGTGAGATGTGGGATTGACTTCAGCCTGGCATTACTCACATAAATATTCTTCATGTCTGCCACCTGGCACCTCACTGTGTAGAACTCCTCAGCTGTCTGACTCACGTGCTCACAGTCCTGAGCAAAAAGGGAAAAGCCAGGAAATCACTTTTTTAGAGAAGTTAGGAAATAATTGTCTTTAAAAGATCAGGCCAGAGAAGAAGCACTTACCAAAGAAACGACGTTGTTTGTGATAACACCTCCAAACAAACTTTTCACCGTGTTTTTCTGTGAAAAAAAGAATAAATACATTCTGTCAAGGAAATTTGAGCAAATCCCTGAGTTCTCAAGCTCCCTTTTGTTCCCTCTTAATAACTCACCAGCTCTGGAGACATTTCCTCTATTTTTGTTATCAGGTCAGTGAAGAACTCAGTCATGTCCTTCTGCTCTCCGGTGTTCAAGGGCTGCTTATCCATGGTGTAGGTTTTGCAGAAAGGCCTTGGGTTGTAAGCCTTACATTCACTTTCCTTTGGATAAAAATACCAAACAACACCAAATCAACCCAAATCTCTTTCTTTTCAAGTTACACAGATGCACCCCACACACACACGAGCATCTGTTTTAAAAAATACATCTTTTCCATACAATAATTTCCTAAATGTCTCAATATTTCTGCTGAAACCAAAGCAGTTTTTACCTAATTGATAACCAGTCATGATACCAGCGAGTAAAATATCATTAGTAGAAAAAGTATAAAAAATATTTAGGAAATACTTCGTTAAATGAATCATTAAAATAATGATTTTAATGGTGCTGAAGACATAACATGAGCACTTTCTATTTGTTTAGACACAAAATAAAATGTGAGAACATCAGCTTGTATTTATGTATTTCTGGACATTGCTGACTGAAATCTTGCCAAGTGCTCAATTCTCATTCAGATTCCTCAATGTTTTTATCCAGTTTCCAACAGGATGTGTGCAGCCAGAGCAAAGAATGTGCAGCACAAAGCAATTCTTTAGAATCCATTCCCTTGCACTGCCTTGCACACTGGGAATGCAGAACTCACTCACTCTGCTCTCTTTTAAGGATGTACAGCAAGGCAGCACCTCCTGTAAATATTGCCTTTTACAGAAAAAATTAAAATTTTGCCTTTTATAGAAAAATTAAAATTTTGCCTTTTATAGAAAAAATAAAATATTGTCTTTTATAGAAAAATTAAAATTTTGCCTTTTATAGAAAAAATAAAATTTTGCCTTTTATAGAAAAAAGAAAAATATTGCCTTTTATAGAAAAAATAAAATATTGTCTTTTACAGCAAAAATAAAATCTTGCCTTTTATAGAAAAAATAAAATCTTGCCTTTTATAGAAAAAAATAAAATATTGTCTTTTATAGAAAAAATAAAATATTGTCTTTTACAGCAAAAATAAAATATTGCCTTTTACAGAAAAAAGGCTTTCTCCAAGATTTGAATTGTAAGTCTTGCTATGACTTTCTGCTCCTATATTATTTTCTGCTTAATGAATACCTAATTTAATAATTTCTATGATTCATGGGAGGCATTACAAATCAAGATTCTTTTTTCCATCTGTCTTTAAAATGGTTGTGAATTTCTTACACAAAACCAGTGTCTGGACACTCCACTCTCCTCAGGTTTTTCCATTATTTCAGAATTGTTTCAGTGTTTTAACAGCAGTGAACACCTGGGAACTGCTTTAATTTTGTTTGGTCCTGAGATCTCAAATTTTGCTGTATTTCAATGGATGAATCTTTAAATATCGGGGCAAGGAAAATGCAAATAATAAAAATAATGGATTTTATTTTATCACCAGGGAAACTCCACCTCCCCAACACCTCTGTAATTCATTGATTCACCTGCACTATGTACCAAGAACCTCTAAAATAGGGCACTTTCTGAAATACCCTCTTTGACACCTACCATTAGGTATGTAAACATCTTCTGGAGTTCCAGCAGAGTGGTCTTGTGTTTCATATCTTCTGAATACTGGCAGAAATTCATAAAAAAGACTTGATCTCATTATTTTCCAAAAACATACATTAAACAGATGTAACAGCCAAATAAAAATCCAATTACTTTATTATGGACCATAAAGAAAAATGATTGTGTACAGGAACACACAGTCTGTTATTTTCTATTTAGAATGTTTATACTTTTTTTACACTTTATTTGGCATGTCAACATTAAACCTGAGAATAAAATAACTTCACTTTCTAAAAATTTATTGCAGGTAGGAGCTTTTGGGGAAGTATTACAAAGTATTAGTGGTTTTGGAATATTTTTTTTAAATTTACAGATGATGTGAGGACTCTGAACAGCCCTCCCATAATGCATTTCCTGTACAGACCAGTAATAAATATGTAATTTAAAATAAAATGTTAATTGAACTCTCTTATTTAGCTTTTTATTTGCATTCATAAATGGCAAATCCTGAGGTTACACGACAAGTACCAGCAATGAACAATAACAGAAAATGATGAGGTCACTGCCAATGAGGGCGTTTCACACACTCTATGTGATGTCAGGGACCAAAATGATATTTTCTCTCTCACAATAAAGAGATAAAAGTGATAACATTGAACTTCTGGAAGTCAACCAAAGTAGGATCATTTCCAGGGCCTGCTGTACTTCTGGTACAGGAGATAACATGCTCTGGGACTTCATAAACATTCATGGAAAAACATTTCTTAACAAAATGACAAATCAGCAGTTAAGAAACAACAGACAATTCCCATAAACCTAAACCTGAATCAAGCTACTTAAAAGCAACAGAAATATGACTTTTACATTTTATTTCACTGCCACCTTAAGAACCTACCACATTAAATATTTAAGAAAAACTCCCTGAAAAGACACCAGCAAAAGCATCCAACTACACAAAAAGCAGACTAAACCCTGAAGAAATATTCTTTATCTAGACGTAAGTCTTAGAAGTCAACCTGTATTTTTTCATTATTTGCACTGATTCTGAATGTGAATTCCTGCCCAAGTCCCCGCTCACCTTTGCAGTGAAGATGGCCTGCCTGGCCTCTGGGATCATGTAGAGCTGCTGGATGGTGGAGGCCAGGTAACACGTGGCTCCAAGGTTGGTCAGGCCCACAAACCTGCACTCAGCACGGACGTCGTCGTGGGGCCAGTAATCCCACTTGTAAGGGGCATGGGAGGCTGTGGGGCAGCAAGCACACAGGCAGGACAGCAGTCACTTCAGAGGCAACTTGCAAAAATCCAATGAGAAGTCTGAATAACATGTCACTGGTTATGCCCTGTACACTGTGGTGTGGTGAGGTCCTCAGGGGGGACAAGGTGAGAGACGAGAATCTGACTCCAAGTTCTCAGAAGGCTGATATATTATATTACATTATACTATATTATATTATATTACATTATATTATATTATATTATACTATATTATATTATATTAGCCATAGGACATGAAAGAACACAAGCTCACACCACTGCTCTCAAGGTGAAGAAAAAAGGGAAGTTTATTTTCTGACTCTAACATTTATAGTTTTCCAAGAGTGACAGTGGATTGGAGGGTGACAGTGCCACCTCTCCAATGACACTGGACAAACCAACAGTCCATCAACTTTCTCCTTTTCCATAAAGGAATGCAAAACAATGAGTTATTTACAGAAAGTGTGCGAGAAAGTTCACTACAAGAATGTCAACATCAGAAGGCTTCAAAAAATCTTAAAAAACCAAAGTGATTATATTATATTATATTATATTATATTATATTACATTACATTATATTACAAGAGATGCGATACTAAAACTATGCTATACTACAGAAAGAGAAAGGATACATCAAAAGTCTAGAAAATAATTGTAATGAAAGCTCATGACTGACTCCTCAGAGTCTGACACAGCTGATGGGGATTGGTCATGAATTAAAAGCAATTCACCAATGGAACCAATCAAAGATAAAGCTGTTGGTAAATGACCTCCAGACCACATTCCCAAACAATCAGCTAACTATTATTTTCATTCTTTTCTGAGGCTTCTCAGCTTCCCAGGAGAAGAAATCCTGGCAAAGGGATTTTTCAGAAAATATCATGGTGACAGTACGTTTACAGGCAGGAGCCAGACTGTGCCTGATTTTAGGAAAATGGATTCAATATTCCTGAGGCAATCTTTAAAATCTTTGGATAGAGAGCAAACATCCTGCAACATCCCTCTGGGCTGCAAGGGGCTCTCTGTGCTCTCCAAATGTCAAGTGAATCAGACTGAAAAAGCCATTTTCTTTTTCTTCCAAGCTTTCTATTCTCTGAATTTCACAGCAGATGTAGAGATGGTTTCTTACACAGGGAGGCACCAGACAAGTTTGGCAGGGCTGAGTGACTCTTTCATGAGCCTTGTTCTGACATGGCTGCCAAGAAATCAGCAGAATGGCAAAGTTCTCCTCTCTGCCAGTCAGGAAGGTGGTAACCAGCTTAGACAATCCTCCTTGGTATCCAGTGAGTTGGACACAAAGCCCTGCATGAATCCAGCTTTGCTATTCATCCCCAAAGATGGCATTCTCTGAAAGATTATTACTGTCCCACCAATAATTCAGACCTCTGCTGAAGTGTATGTTCAGGTGAAGAGGAAACGAACCCCCAAAAATAGTCTGGATTTATTTTACAATCCATAAAAGCTAAGTGGGGTTCAAGACTTAAAGTTTAAATCCTCAATTATTCTGTCACAGATGAAAGACTCATTAGGGATTCTTCTCAATCCACAGCATCAGACAGAAATTCAGGAAATATCTGGCATCCTCACATTTTCAGAGACCAGACGCTCAAGACTTTCTGTTGCACAACAAATAATAGTTGTAATCTTCATTCTGGCACTGGCACCACAACAACCATTAGCCCTGAAGCTCCAAGGAGGGAAGAAAAGAGCTTTAATTCTCCTGTTTCAGCAAACCTCAGTGCTGTGACCTCAGGTTACCTGGGCTGCTCAGCCAGTTGAAACAAAGCTCCCCTGCACACTTCACCTCCTAAAGGAGGTCATGAGCCTGGCAGAATAACCCAAAATTCCCTCCCTTACCTGCAATCCCTCAGTGACAGCATCCCAACTCAGCCTTTGTGATGGGAGGGCTCAGCATCCCTGCCTGCCTGGAGCTCATCAAGCTCTAATTGCAAAGCAATCACTGACTGCTCTGTACTCCACAGAGCAGCTGGGAGCATCTTCCACCTCCTTCCATCTGACAGAGAGCATTCAGCAATCTGACAAGGACTTTCTCAGGGTGACCTTGTGTTCCCCAGCCTGGGATTTTTTAAGTGACTGACTTCATTTGTGTAATAAAATTTTTCCTTCTCCATATGGATCTTAACTAGAAAGGCAAATCTGAGGCTCCTTGATGTCTGTCTTCTTTATTCCTCACTGTTGTTATAGAAACCAGATTTTTCTGAGGAAGAGAAGGGGAAACTTGAAACCAAACTTGCCATGTTCACATTCTATTTTAAGCAAACTAAAGCTGAATTTTTTCCTCTCAGAATGACCATGCATTTCTTTATATTCCACCTTGTGAGGATGCTCCTGCTCCATGGGCAACACCAGACATGATCTGTAACTTGCTGGGAAGTGAGGCACCTACACTCTTTGAACTGAGGGGTCTTATCAGTCTTTAAAGAAGCAAAAGTCCAAAATACTGCAAGAAATTTTATCAACAACTGAAGATACCTAAATCCACTCTTCAGTGAGATCATCCTGAATGAACTGGGAGCCCTCCCTGCCAAGAAAACACATTTAAAACCAAAGCTAGGATGGAAATTTCTACTGTTTCCCTTAATGTTTCTCCTAAGGAGGATGGAGGGATAGGCCTAAGACTAAGATTTTTGAAGACCAGTAAGATTACAGATACAACAAAATGGAAAAGCCCAGTTTCAATAATCTTTGGATCACAACAAGGGAATAACAAGCCCTTAAACAAATGAGGTTTCACAAGTCCTGTGCTGGGTGCACATCACAGAGACAACAGCACTGTGGCAGTTGCAATAAAATTAACATTCATGCAAGTGAGAAATGTTGGATATGGAGCAGGAGCACAGAGCAGATGGCTCTGGAGAACTTGGGATGAGCAAACAATCTAGGAAAGAGTGTTTGGAAGAAAGTAACAACTGTGCTAAATGTTACAGAGGAATTACTGAGACTTGGAGTGAGGAACACACTGATTGTTAAAACAAATGATTGCACCTGGAGAGATAGAGACACTCTCAGCAGCAGATAATGTGCTCATAGCAAACCTAAATATCCAATATTTTCATAAAAAATATTCCTCATAATATTTCTTCTGAGCACAGGAGACCTTGGAAGGCCCCAGGCATGAGAGAATAGAACACAAAGCATTATTACGATCAGATTTCTCTTTTGCTTGCTGAATTGTAAGGCACTAAAATAAATTCCACACATTATAATAAATTACAGAACCTCAGGTTAGAGAAATTTTAACTGGGCATGTGAAAGGAAATCTAGCTAAAGCTAAAAATGCATAATGAGGATTTGCAAACCAAAGATGAAATATTAACTAGCTGAAATGTTGCTGATTTCCATATTATACATAGGAATTGTGGCTCCAAAAGGCAGGAGGCATGGAAGCCAAGAGGCACAGCAAAACTGCTTGATGCAGATAGCTGGGTACAGACTGAAGTCAACTGCAATGACACCAGAGGCTCTGAAAACACCACAGGGCTGCTCAGAACTCCAATTCCTCCATGTGGTTTCTACAGTTTGGTTTATGTATAAATATCCCATGGTTCGGGAAATTAAAATCCAGCAAAAGAGGGTGAAACATGTAAAATCCAGTGTTACCTGTGTGTACCTGTCATTTGACAGGACCACACGCTCTAAATAATAATATTTAGGAACAGGTGATATGGAAATGATGATGGGATTTCCCTGGTAGGTGAGCAAAAGATGCCAACACTTGTGTGCCACTGCTCCAGGGGACAGGGGATAAAAGCAGAGCTGTGAATGAATTCCCAGAGCAGGGTTAGTGGCCACAAACTCTCCAGGGGTTCTTACACTGCATGTGCTGTGCCATGACCCAGTTGTGCAGCAGCCTGTAGTTCTCCACTGAGCCTTTCACCATTTCCACCAGCAAGTCATAGGCAGCAGCCCTGGAGGAGTGGGACTTGCACTTGGGCTGCTGCCTGTCCTTCAGGCTGGGCAGCAAGAACAGCAGGTTGAAGATGTCCCTCAGAAACTCCTGGAAAACATGAAATTGGCACATTGAGCAGCCTGAATGTATTCTTAAAACATGAACCTATATCAACAATTTTCTAGGAAATTCTGTAGACTTTCTGGACCTCTATCATGCAGAACTTTCTGACCTAAATACAAGTTCTGAATCACAAATTTCAACAATTTATAAAGTTCACTGTAACCACATTATAGTCTAAAGAGGAACATACCAGTTGGAAAAGAACCCCAAAATATGATTGGTTTTATGATTAATAACCTGACAAACCAGACATGGATTTTCAGTAGCTTTTAGGATTAGTTTCTCAAGCTTTTCTTAGCTTTCCATACATCCAAGCTACATAAACCTGACCTTTGCATTCCTCTGTTTTAATTTCCACATCCTCCTCCTCACTGCATTCTGTGAATTGAATTTTTACTCTCATTTAATCTGCAAGCTCTCCCTAAGTTAAATACACTTATCCAGCAGAACAACAGAGGCAGTCTGTTCAAATGCTGCCAGCAATGTCACATTTGGACAATCGAATTACCTTCAGGGCTGTTTTATAACAACAGAATAAACACCCAAGATATAAACAACATCATTAAACACCAGGGCCTACTCTTCAGCTGAAAAGCCCAATAATAAGTTCTGTAGAGCCTACAGAAAAAGAATCAATCTAAAACTGTTTTTACACACAATTTGCCTTTTTTTTTAATGCTAATGCAGTTCTCAAAGATAAAATAAATAGTTTTAATATAAACAAATAGGTTTAATATAAATAAACAGTATAAATATAAATAAATAGGTTTACTATAAATAAATAGTATTAATATAAATAAATCGTTTTAATATAAATAAACAGTATTAATATAAATAAATCATTTTAATATAAAGAAAGTAGGTTTTTTTTAGCAAACTTCCCCTGCTTCACCACTTTTGCACCTTACAGGTGGAATGCAATAATCTCGTAACAGATCTCTTCCACTGCACAGGTGTGGAGTTTAAACTGTTACTTTTAGATCAGATTGCCCAGGATCTGGTCAAAATCAGCTGTTGTTAAGGACTTAAGCCAGTTAATGCTGATCAATAGTAAAAACATTTAAAGACAAGAAATGAAAATCAATAAAAGTTCAGGGATGGAAGAATGCTATTCTGGAATTACACAGAAAGGGAAGGAACTGTGTGAGCTGCTTGTCACTAAAGGAATATGTGTGGGCTTGTCCATCATCCTAAGGCCAGAAAAGGACAAAGTTTAATCCACTGATCCCTGCAATCAAAATGTGGTGCAAAAGGCCCAGTTCTGATGTCCCAGGGGTGCTGCAGTGTTGGAATTTATAAAGTTAGAGGGTTTTTAGGAAATGGTTAAAAAAGAGTATGTAGGTTTCAGGTTGAGGCTGAAGTTCTGTTGCAGTAAAAAAGTTTTTCAAGCAAGCAGAAAAGTTTCTTAAGCAGTAGACATGACAACAATAAGACTCTGTAGATTTAGATTTAAGATGGCAATAAGTTTATTTAATGTATAACTTTAGAAGATTACTATGAATAGAGTTCTGTTCTTTGTTTTTTATGAAATAGTCTTTGTTTTAACTACTATTACGTATGTTTTATAAGGTTAGATAGAAAGTTTGTCATTATGTCTTGTTTTTGTCTGATTGGCTGAAATCTAAACTGAAATGATTTTATGTCATTCTGTATTACTCTACTTTCTGCGACATTTCCCTGTAGACTAGTGAATTGTTAGCATGCTTTTTCTATAGTAACAATATTTTGAGACTGATGTGTCAGCAATAAAAAAAGGCTTTTCTCTAGAAGGCTTTTCTCTGGTCTAGATTTGTCTAGTGTTGTCTATATTTAGATTTTTTGCCGCAGTAAGTTTTTCTCTTAAGACGTAGGTTCTTGACATCATTAGACTTATAACTACTCTGTTACTCTGATATTTGGTGCCCCGTGTGAGGATACCCCCGTTTGAGGACATAGGATAGAAGAAAAAAGAAAAATCATAGATTTCCCGGCCGCTAGAGATTCAAGTGTTAATCAAGAAGACGCTGTATCATCTCTCCCGCCGAAGCCAAAGAATTTGTAACTAACTTTTATCAACAACTTTTAGTGTTGTCCATATTTAGACTTTTTGCTGCAGCAAGTAAGTTCCTCTCTTAAGACGTAGGTTCCTGACATCATTAGACCTATAACTACCCTGTTACCCCGATACTGCAGTGCCCTGCTCACCTGGCCCTCCCGGGAGAATTTGAAAGGAGGTTTGTGCTTGATGACGCTGGTGGCGAGGCGCAGCAGCCCTGTGAGCCCATCGTCCTCGATGTTCCCATCCTGGTGGTCCAGGATCTCCCTGCTGAGATGCACACACAGGACAGAAGGAATGTCACACACGTGTTTTATGAAAAATCCTCTTTTCTCCTGAGAAGCTGAGAGGCCTCAGGAACAAAACGTAAACATTGATTATCTGCTGCTGTGGGATGCAACAGGTGCATCTGGGATTGGTGTCATGTGGTTGTTTCTAATGATTGGCCAATCACAGTCCAGCTGTCTGGACTGTCTGGTCAGTCACAAGCCTTTGTTATCATTTTCTATTCTTAGCCAGCCTTCTGATGAAATCCTTTCTTCTTTTAGTACAGTGTTAACATAATATATATTATAAAATAATAAATCAGCCTTCTGAAACATGGAGTCAGATCCTTGTCTCTTCCCTCATCCTAAGACCCCTGGAACACCACCACAAGAAGGAATGTCACAGCTTTGCCCCACTGACAATGCACCAGTGCACGCTGCAAACAATGGCTTATAAAGGGGAGGACACAATCTTCAATTCATCAGGAGAAACGGGGGTGGAACACACGGTGGGGAATGCAAGGTGTATAAACCAATGAAGGATTTCAATGGAGGAGAACAGCTTGGCATAGGAAGGGTTAACAACTGGATGGGTGTTGGAATCTTCAGCTTGTCAAAGTGCCCCCCAGAAAAGCTGAAAGTGTCTTTTCCCAGTCTGGTGCTTGGAGAAGGAGTCAGGGCTCCTCAGTTCTCAGTCTCAGAGTTGTTTATTGTTTCTTATCTATAAAAAATTTTCTCCTGCCCTACCCAGGTCTGTCCAGCAGGACAGTTCCAGGCACTCTGCCTGCTCCTGGGGTGGTGTTATCTCTTTATACTAAAAACTACCTGTACAATGTTTACAATTACTTTTCAACACCCATAACCCATGTTAGACAGTGAGCTTCTATTCTAAACCAATCCAAAAGTGCCAACATCACAGCAGAAGATGAAGGCCAAGAAGAAGAAGGATAAAGGCTGGACATGCCCAGTTCCCTCCATCTTGCCCCCTGAACCCCCATACCAAAACCCTAAAATCTACTTTTCCACCCTGTGATAACCTCATTATTACTCTGCCTAAACTGTCGTGGCTTGCTGATCCTCATCTAAGGCTGGTAATTTTCTCCACGGGTCATAATCAAACCCACAGGTGTTTTGGGCTCTGAGCCCCTGGCAGGGTCCTGGCCAGCCAGAGGGATGTGCTGGGCTCCCACACATGGGGGGAAGGAAGGGGGTTTGAAACTTGGCAAGGAGTAGCTGAGTAACAAACAGATAAACCACACCTGGCTCAACTAAATAATAAAGGCGGGAGTGTGTCACTCTAAAAACAGGGGGAGAAAAACACAGAGACTACAAAACCACCAATCAAACTAAAAACCACACTACAGCACAAGGGACCTGCTGGGGGCAAGGCTCACCTCCTAATGCAGTCAGCGAGGTGTCTGGCCAGAGCATCCAGATCAAGCAGGGTTGTCTGATTGAAAAGAAAGAAAATGGAACAAAAATGGGAAAGAATTATGGACTTCTTTTGGAGGAAATGTTATTACTGCACACAGAAAAACAGAAATAATTAAAACTCATTTTCAGGCATGCTCTAAGGTAAGTTTTCTGATTTATGCTAAGTGTCTGTTAACTGAATTTAACTCTTTCAGCTTTAATCAAACACTTGATTAGCTCCTCCTTGGAACACACTGGAATTATCAACAGTGTAATTATCACAGATAATTACACTATTCCCATGTCTGTGACCTTCAACCAAGCTCACCTTGTGTGTTAGAACAACTCCCCTTTCTTGACCCCACAGAGTCACTACCTGAAACTTCCAAGAGCTACTAAATACACATCAGAGTAAACTGGGAGATGGAAAACACCCAAAAGCTGCTCAAAATCCACCAGATGTTTAAAACAAATGTCTGAAGACAAAAATGAAAAGCAATAGACATTGGTATGAATGCAAGGCAGACCTACCTGACTTGCATCTTTGACATGGATGTTATCAATCAGTTTGCACAGCAGCCAGAAATACTCCTTACAACCAGGTCTCAGCACAGCTTCCTCCTCATAATCCTCTATCTGTGGAAAGAAATTGCTTTTGTTCTGAAGGAGAACACAAAATAACTGCATTAAAATAGCACAGTGAAGCCAGTAACTGTGTTACAAGAGAATGACTTCCTTCAAGCCTCTAAGGTAAGTATAAGAACAATGTATTTTACAATGGTAACAGTGTATGCTCTGTTTTGCTTCTGCAATATTTATTAATTTTCTTGAAAAACTGGATGATCTGCCAGACCTGTAAAAGATTTGTAAAATAGTGTGGAGTTCATCCCACCCACTGCAAATCACAAAATCTATGATTAGACTGGACAAAACATGAAAAACCTGGGCTGATTTCAATTAGTAAATATATCTCTAATTTTAAACTCTTACAAAACAAATAAATATTGCAAGATCTTCTGTAGCCTGTTTTAATTTAACTCTTTTAAAAATATCTGTGTACGTGGACATGGAAATTTAAAAACAAGAGCACTTTCCAAAAGCTGTCCTGCATTTCTCCAGGCACAGCCAAACTGTGAATTACTGCAGTGTCACAGTTTAACCATTCTGGGGAAGTTTCTGGAAACATCTAAGCCAGAAGCCTTCATATCTCCATGCATCTGAAACAGTGTGTCAGACACAACAATAAAGTGCTACCATGTTTAGTTTTTATATTTTTATATTATAAAATATATAATATTATATATTATATGGTTGAGGACTTACATCCTTAACAATATATATTATATTAAATTATATATTATATTGTTAAGGACTTAAATCCTTAACAATATACACTATATGAAATTTTATATGACATCATATTAAAGCTTACATTATATTAAATATTATATTAAATATTATTTCAACTATTACATTAAATTATATTATATCACATCATATTATATTATATTAACGCTGCTTAATATAATATAGATATAATATTCGATTATTACATATTATATTTAACTATATATATAACTATATATAATATTTTATATATTATAATTTTATACTTTACTTTTTTCATATTATTTTTGATTTTTTTTACTTTTTGTACTAATTTTAAGTTTTTTATATTTTACATGAATTTTAAGTTTATCTTTGAGAATGCCTTGTGAGTTTTTAAATTCTTACCCTAATTGGTTTCAGAGCTTGAGCATCAGGGAGGAATTTCAGCAAGGTTGATGCAGCCAGCAGCAGAAAGGAGCGATTGATGGAGTCTCCCCCATCCAGGCCAGAGAGAGACAATTTGTACAAACCATTGCAGGACTCGTGGCGAACTGCAGTCTAGGAAAAACAATGAATTTAACATGATTGCACACATTCTTTGGAAGATATTTTCTTTTGTATGTTTTTCTTTCATAGGTACATAAATTCCTCTCATAATATCGAAGAGGTTATCAGGGTTGAATGTGTTTTTCTCAAACAGGGATTACAAATAAGGTGCATTTAAACTGCTTACAGAAAAATGCAAATTATACTATTCTAATTAAAAAGATGATTTGTTGTCCCCTGTGTCTTGAGTTATGTATTTTCCATGGGAATGATTACAGTGACTAGAATAGAAAATATCACATCAGGCAAATAAAGGAAATCTATGTGAATCCTGAATTTACCCTTACTCTTTCATAACTACTAATTAATTTAATTTCACTACAAAAACTATTTTCTTCTTCATTTTATTAATGAAAATATCCACAGTGTAATCAAGCTTTGGAAGTTTGCACTCTCTCATTTCCAGGGATTTTAAATCAAGCCAGCCTGCAAGCTTTTTCTGTGCTTGAGTAATAAAACAAGAGATAGGAATTATCACATCATGTCCACCTTGCACCTTTAAGCAATCACCAATAAACACAAAAAAATTCTACTGTGAATATAACTGATGCAATTTTTAAGCTGTTATTCCATTTAAGCCTATAGACCTATCTTCAGTCTAGATTTAGTATAAAATTACTCTAGCTTAGGCAAAATTTGGTCTAGCTTTAGTAAAAAGATTGCGTAAAGCTAGCCCAATCTTTGGTCATGACAAAGATCTTGGTATCAATTCTCATTCACCTCATTTTGTGATTCTAAGTATAAAAAATAAACAGCAAAAAAATAAATCTAATAATGTGAAAAACATAATGTACATTTCAGCTAATTCAAGTCAGGTGGCACCACCCAGAAATTTCAACAAATTACCCAGAAATTTTAACAAATGACAGTGAAAAAATGTCCTTCCAACAGAAGCCAAGGAGAAAGGTGAGGGTTTATAACCTGGTTTGTGACTGAACACAGAGGTGCCACCTTCCAGTGATCACTTCTCACCCAGCACTGCAAGGAACTGGAGCAGGTCCTGCCACGTGGAGCAGGAAACCACAAGCCTTGGATTGAATGGCAAGCCAAAGGTAACGACACTAATTAGGAATGCAGCAAGGCCCCCATTGCCATACCTCTGGAATAAGCAGGGTGAGTTTCTTGAGCCAGTCTTGCAAATGGTCACTGTCAGCCAGGCTGGATTTCACCAAGGAGCAGCAGTGAGCCCAGCTCACCAAGAGCCACATGGAATAGTGAGTGACTGTGGGAATAGAGAAACCCCACATGGAACAGTGAGTGACTGCAGGAACAGA